TATTTAAGATTCAAGGAAGAGTTCCTGAGGGCCTCCTAGGGGGAACTGTTGCTATTTGACCCTGAGCTGAAGTTCCACACATTTTTAAGTTTCTGAAAACTTTGAACTCGAAGTCTAAAGCATGTACACATTTTTGTACACATATCTTATTTTGCAGAACTGATTGAAAGCCTGAAAACATCTGAGAATAGCTGATACATTGCTTCTGTAAGAAATTTTCTACATTCTTAATATAGGTTATAAAGAATTAAAACTAATACAGAGAATTAAAACTAATACAGTCCTCAGAGTCAAATTTCTAGATGCAAATCCAGGAACTGGGGCTTACTAGATGACTGAACAATTTATGTAACCACTCTAGTTTTTCTCACAGTACAAATGGAAATATATTATTTCCTGCCTTGTAAATTTTTTTGTAAGCATTGAATGGATAACCGAAGATTCAGTGTCCAAAACATTTAACAAGTCAATAAGCTTGTTATATCCCAGGTACTATTACACAGCAGTTTTATATGTGGTGTGTGTGTATGCATGTATGCAGTTTCTACGTATGCATATATGTGGTTTCTATAAATTTTCAATCATTTCCACTACCATTATAATTTAATCCTGAAGATTAATATGCCATTTCATCATTGTATCACACTGAACCAATGCTTTAAAGGAACAGTCTCCATAAAGCCTAAGTCATTGTTGATTTATTGTGAATCATTTATTCACACAGATGTTTATCAGTCAAGTACTGTGTATCATGATATGGTTGATCTCTTATGATTTGGAAATGATCAACTGGAACCGATCCTTGTAAATCCATAGGGAAGTAGTAGTTTTTAAATTAGGTTATACAGTTCCCTTTATAAGTATTAATAAGAACAAATAAATTTTAACAATTAGATCAGAAAAGAAGAAACTAATGCCCTCTGTACAAAAATATTTATATATATATTAAAATATATAAATCTATTTATTGCAAAGTATGTTGTTGTGCTGTGTTCACTTGCTCAGTGATGTCCAACTCTTTGCGACCCCATGAACTGTAGCCTGCCAGGCTCCTCTATCCATGGGATTCTCCAGGAAAGAATAGTGGAGTGGGTTGCCATGCCCTTCTCCAGGGGACCTTCCCAGTCCAAGGACCAAACCAGCATCTCCTGCTTCTCCTGAGTTGCAGACAGATTTTTTTACCAGCTGAGCCACCAGGGAAGGCCAAGAATACTGGAGTGGGTAGTCTATCCCTTCTCCAGGGGATCTTCCTGATCCAGGAATCAAATCGGGATCTCCTGCATTGCAGGTGGATTCTTTACCAGCTTAGCAACCAGGGAAGCCCATATATGCATATACATATATACTGATACATCAGTGTGAAATAGCCCCATTGAAAGGTCATAATTTACTAAGTATTTTAGTGCTCACAATAAAGAGAGCATTTGTTTCTGTATGATGTTGTCAAATGAAAGTCAATAGCAAAATGAAAGAAGTCCAAAGTCAATTTAATGTTTTTGCTGCTTCCCCAAGAAATTATTAATATGCAATAAACTCATGTGGCTTAAAATTCGCTTTTTGAATAGATAAGTCTATTGAACAAGCCATCAATTTTCCTTTTACATCCCTCTGATGTAAGGAGCCTAAACTCCTTTCTATTTACCATGTAACATCACCTTTTTCATTTGTTACATAAAAGATACTACCTGCATCATGCAAACCTACATCAACAAAGGAAGACAAGTCTTTCCCTGTAAAACTTTTAAGTACATCACTGCTGCTCCAAGTGGCATGTCTACCAGAGGTCTTGGGCTCGATGGACACGACAGGATCCCGGGGAACAAAATCAGAGTCCCCACTGCTGGGGGCCACACGTTAGCATGACTTCATACTTGACTGTCTCTCTCACACACCCCAACACTAATCAAGATCCCCTGATACACACGGTCCTGGGTCTGCTCACACAGCACAAAAAGACAATCGATTACTTCTGACTTGGTTAAACAGAAGTATTCTCTAATGTTGACCAGCACCTTATGAATATTCTTAAATTATAACTTGCACACATTCCAGCTCATCTGGGAAAAATGTCTGCAACGTTTGGCTTTAACTTGTACAAAATCTGTGAGTAAATGATAATTCCACTTCCACGAACATTCTTTTTGTGCTTCAGCATAGACCAGGTCCTCTACCTTGTCCTCATTTGTATGCATCACAATGCCAAGGCCAGGAACCTTGCTACATGAAAATCTGCCTGGTGCTTTCTGAAGGTGTATACATGGTGATTGTTGATGACCACCTCGTTACTAAAGTAATAAGTAATGAAGTTACTCTACTGAAGTTCTATTTATAACCAATAAACTTTGATCTTGAGAATATTGTTTTGCTTCTATGAGAACTTCATGGAGATATATATAGGACCAATTGGCTTTGAATCTGTGGTCCAGTTCTAGTTAAACTAAATGAGGCCATGTTGGAAAGGTAAACAGAAGGTGCTCCCTGGGCAGTGGATGCTGAGTGGTGGACCCCATGGGCAGAGAGTTAGTCGTGTGTGGTCCCCCTGGAGGAGAACTCTTGCCTATCTAGCACTTCCAAGGATGCTGGCATTCATTCAGCAAGGTATTGGATGTCTGGAATGTGCTAGATACCACTTAGACCCTGAGAATACAGAGGTGGACAGTACAGAAATGGGACTTGTCCTTCTGATGGACAGTATAAGCAAGAAAGTGGGCAGTTACAATGCAGTGGGATAAACGCCACTACAATTTGGAAAACAATGTCATTTCAACTTGGGAGGGTGAGCACCTACAAGGTTTTGTGGTCAAAGACTGAGTTAGGACCTCAAGAATGGAGATGGTATTGTGAAGGGGGAGAAAAATACTATAGAGGAAATAAGTTTGGATATCAGCAGAAGGTAGTTCTGAGGGCCTTGCATACTTTCCATAAAGATAACTGAACAATCAACCTAGAAAAGAGAAAACAGGCTCAATGCCAGGATTGGAACCTCTAGAGCTAAAAAAGGGGGTGGGTGAAGGCAAACACCCTCTTGGAGCAAACACGCCCTGTAGTCGGAGCTATCACATCAGGGTCTCACGTCTGGTCATGGAGAAGGATGAGAGGGAGGCAAGAAATTACTCTGTGGGCAAGTGAACTAGAACAGATAGGGAGTGAAGAACCCACATTGAGGGCCAGGGCTGTTGGGGGTAAAGAGCCTGCTGTGTGATGTGCCAGATTCTGAGTTTCAGAAAACACCTGCAAAGTGTACCCCAGAGGAAATGGAGAAAACTAGGTTTCCGGTGAGGTTGGTAGGAACAGATGCTATGGTAGGACCAGCACCTTTGGGGAAACACATAATGGATTGCAGTTGTTCAGAAAAGAGAATTTAACAAATGCCCGTAGATAAAGTTTACTTTAAAAACAGCAGACAAAACATAACCTTGTAATCTAAGAGAAGCTAGGAAACATGTGTGATTTCCAAGAATCCATCAAGTTCATAAAGCAAAGAGTTTCTTGCATACAGCTAACAGAAGCACTGAGCTTTATTAGGAGGTAGCCACAGGCAGGAGAAATGGATGCTTCCTTACGGGAGACTGTTTATTTTATAGCGTTCACAGAAAATCCAGAAGAACCATTAGAATCAGACAGGTGTGTGAGTTATAGAATCAATCTGACCTTTTGGGGGGTTTTGTCAGTATTTATTGGCACACTTAGTGACATTTATATTGTTAAATGAAAATATAAGAGCTTGAAGCTGCCAATGGAATCATTATAAGGACAATATCCGATCACAGGATGCTATAAATCACTTGAACAAAGCAGAAGTGCAAATTTCTACTATTCAATGATGAAAATAAATTCCTGCAAACTCTCTACTTCACCTGCTCTCTCATCAGATGAAGGGAGGAAAGGTTGTGACTCCACCTATGAACTGTAACTGCATAGACTTGTACCCAGCATCTGAACTGGCTGCAATGATCAGCTGTTCCATTGTCCTTCAGCCCACCTACTAACTACCTTTTCCTTTGTTTCCTGCCCTCTAGACTTCCTTGCCCCTTCTTCCCCAAATTCATAGAAATACATATGTGAGTTCATGAATCTGCCCGCACATGACAGAAATCCCCATACATTAATAAACCTTATTTATGGCTGAAAGCTGGTTTCTGCAATCAACAACATAATGAAATTATTTCTGACCTGGCCAATGTTGTTATGGGACAATTTGCTCTTTCGCTTGAACTTTTTAAAATATGAATGAATTGGGAGATTTACATTGACACATTTATACTATTGATTCTACATATACGATGGATAACTAATGAGACCCTACCGCATAGCACAGGGAAATCCACTTAATGATCTCTGGTACCTAAATGTGAAGGAAATCCAAAAAAAGAGGGTATATATGTATAGTACAGTAGAAACACAACATTGCAAAGCAAGTATACTCCAATAGAACTTAAAATAATTAAATAAATATGAACGAGGTTTGTTGCTTCTCTACCATTCCGTCCTTAATTATAATTTAAGTTATTTAAGTCACAACAGGGCTAAATAAATAAGCACAGAACATTCCAGAACACAACGCTCTTAAGAAGCTTTCAATCTGTACCCTACACAAATCATCACCTTAGTTTAAGACAAAATTCCACTCAAGCCAAGTATCTTAATTCGAGGTTTTTACCAAAACTATGCCAAGTGGGTGAAACTGATGGCATTCGCGAAGAGACTTTCAGCTGCTGAAAGTGTTCATGCTCCTAGAGGTGGTGTCCTCGACTTGGAAGAGCTGCTGGGGATCAGTGTCCTTCACATGCAGAGCGAAGACAGCCCCCCCCCC